AGCACACAGTACACAGCACAGAACGTCCTTACAGGACAGTACAGTATATACTACTGTAGTGCTGCTGCGGAGCAGGATCAGGGCCAAAGCCAGGGCGAGGAAAGCGGAACGGTGGCGACCGGCAGTGCCTAGGAATCAGCCCACGCGATCTTGCTGCACTGTACAACAGTGCACAGCAGCCTCTTTTTGCGATCAAGTCACACATCAAGATGTAGACGAGATCTACACCAAGGTCCAGCTGGTGGCGCACGGCCTCACGCACTACCGTGCTGTACAGTACATACAGTGTACTGTAACACTGCTGCAGGACAACAAGCTGTCGTGGTCTGATGCACAGTACAGTAGAGTACAGCACAGTACTCTGGATCCAGAAATGCCGACCAAGCTGCAACCAGCTGGTGGCGCAGCAGCTCCTTGCCCTTTCTGCTGTTCAGCAACTGGACCTGGCAGTCGATGTCCTCAGGTCGCATGGGGTCATATTCTGCTGTGAGGTTTACAAGACTGTACTGTACTGTACTGTACTGTATATCGCACAGCCCCTACGAAGCATGTACTGTAATCAGTAGTAGTGAAAGGCAAAGCGCGCCCACGTCTCCGCCCCCTGGCTGATGTGGATCGCGCCACAGCATTCTGACCTAAGCACAGCACTGACTCGCAAACCTTGCCCATTCCGACAAAGATGCTTTGCACCCAGATATATGCTAACTGCGGTCCTTCCTACCCTTTCAAGACTTGCAATACTGTATAGCTAAATCCCACAAAGACGATACTTTACTGTACATTACTGTACGTGCTGCAACTGCAAGCGAGCTGCATCTGCCAGAACGAGGCAACGCCGCGGGAACCAGGATTTCAGATATCCAAGGGTTCGGTCCCCTTGGATGCGGCTGCCGCCGCGGCCGACCTGATACATCCTGTCCGCTCCGATGGCCACCAGCGTCAACTTCATGGCTGACGCAAGAAAGAGCTCCTGGATCAATCCGTCAATCCTTACTGTACTATGTCTGGACCTGGTAAGCTTCCCCGTGTTGAGTCAAATTAAGCCGCAGGCTCCACTCCTGGTGTGTACAGTAGGGATTCCTTAATATAAACCCTATTATGGGGAACCCTACCGTAATCCCTACTGCTGTGAAGGGGCCTAAGGCTACAATGATTGCAAGAGATCTGAGCATCCCAGCAGTATTACATACAGTACAGTGCTGCACATGCCCTGCAGTACAGTACGGTACTGTATAAAAGTATCTGAGCATGGCATGCCCATGTGTCACGAACGGCCCTCCTGCCCTTAAGCATGAATGGCACCAGGTCACAACACCAGCAGCTCGCAGTTACGGACGCAACCCATCTACAGTACTGTGCTGCACAGGAATGCACTGTATTGTACTGTACTGTACAGCAATGCGCACTGCTCCCATTCTATCAGAACACATGTCTGGTCAGCGCCCCTCTCGGTGCCGGGCTGGCTACGCAGTCGGCGCAGGGCAGCACCACTCGGTGTCCTTAATATGCAAGTACAGCACTGTACTTACTGTACAGTAAATTGATAGAGCGCAGCGACCGCAACCCCGACGTCAGTGCGCAACACAGCACTCAACTTCAATACGTCCCGCAGAACCACACGATAACTTGGGCTCCTGGCCAGTGGAACGGCTACCGGGACGGGCCTGGGCACAGACAATACACTACTGTTCTTGCCAGGAATTTGGGCATTGCTTTGGGGGGCATTCGGAGGAGTTTGGGGGAGTCATTCACAATCCAAGCAACACTCGCAGTTCGCAGGTGCTGGCACTCATGAAGTGACATGCCACTGAACGATTGAAGTTGCTTGCTGATACCATTCTATATTGTGCAGTACGGTACATAGAAGGCAGTCACCTGCCTCCTTTCCAGCAGCTCGATGTTGCCGGGGTCCTGGAACAGGAGGCTTGCTGTTTGAATCACAACTACTGTACTGTATACTACTGCACAGCATCAGACTGCACTGCAAAGGCTTCACCGGCATGTCTCCTTGCCCACAGCATTCGAAGGCGCCGAAGTCGTAGTCGTAGTTTGTATAGTACAGCACTGACGACTGAAATGGGCAGGGGGTAAGGGGAGGGCATAGGAGGGGCAAAGGAAAGGGGAGAAGGTGCAACACAGTACAGTACTCTCCTACCCCCCAAAAAAAAGCTCACATTCCTGGCATGGACCATATGCTAACTGCGGTTCGGATATGCCCATACTGTACAGTACAGCACTGTACAGTACTGTACAGTACAGTTGCACAACACAAACAGAGGCGCAAGTTCCATCAACTCTTCTGAAGTTGTCCCCCGCTCATGCAAAACCTCCCAGAATTACCAGAACTTCCTCCGACTCACGCCCTCCCACCACCAAAAAAAGCTCACATTCCTGGCATGGACCATATGCTAACTGCGGTTCGGATATGCCCATACTGTACAGTACAGCACTGTACAGTACAGTACAGTTGCACAACACGAACAGAGGCGCAAGTTCCATCAACTCTTCTGAAGTTGTCCCCCGCTCATGCAGAACCTCCCAGAATTACCAGAACTTCCTCCGACTCACGCCCTCCCACCACCAAAAAAAGCTCACATTCCTGGCATGGACCATATGCTAACTGCGGTGCGGGATATGCTAACTGCGGTTGTTGGGACCCGGGAAAACTCATATGCTAACTGCGTTGTTTTTGGCCCGGGATGAAATTAGACAAATGACCCGGGATCCCGGGTCATTTGTCTAATTGTCTAATTGTCCCCGGGTCCATATGCTAACTGGTGTTCCGGGAGTGTAAACTTGAAAGTCTTTGGGAGTCATTCGTTCGGGGTGTGGCATGACCATCAGAGAGCCAGCAGATGCCAGCAGCATCGTAAGGAACAATAGTGCAAGTTGTCAGTGATGTGTTGTCCGTTAAAACCTACAGTTTCGAGGTCTCGACCAGTCAGGGCTGGTGCCACATCTCTCGCCTGGACAGATCACGAAAAGTGTATGGTCCCAAGTCCCTTGCAGATCTTTCGTCAGTGTTTCTGCGTCCTTAATCTCTCCATTTCTGAAACACGCAGGCCGGCAGTACTGAAACGAACGTCCTGTGCAGCTCTCTACAGCTAGGCGGCTGAGCCTTCTTGTTGAAGCTGCTCTTGCCGAGTAGGGTTGCAAATGAAGCTTCCGGAGGACGGTCAATCCAACATGTTATGCTTGCCGCCGGGTGATGACAAGTTCTGCCCAAGCAGTAGCATGTGAAGTCACCTGGTGGGGCAAGGGGGATGGACTTGCCGCCGCAGCTACTGGAAGCAAGTGCCGCAATTTTGTATACCGGTCTCTCGATGTGATGTGAGTCGGACTCCTGACATTACCACTGCCTGATATTGCTACACAGGAATGTGGTTCTTCATGTTAGAGACATATGCAACCCATGCATCCACTTAACCGGTTCGAGCTGCATTGCACCGATTACCCAATTTGTGAACTGCCGCCAGCCTTCCACAACCTCCTTGACTAGTCACAATGTTCATGTGTCCTCTGGCTAACTGCCGTTCATGCTACTCGAGCGTAATGGGGATTCCCTCTTCTTGCGCAGGTTTGAGTGGTGTGTATTGCATGCCCACCACAGAACCACACAGAGACAATAGCACGTTGGTGCATAGCCCATGGCATGGAAGGCCGCTGAGGCTTTAATTTATGTCTGCGAAGTTTATCTCTTTACCATATAACAGGGTGCTGTTTGTCTGTCCCCTTGAAGTCGGTTGATTCTGAATGTAAGGTTTGGCGGGTTTCGGCTGTACAATAGGAACAAGATTCGGGCGCGAAGCACGAGGCTGGGGTGACAAATCATGCTTTCTCATTTGAGCTTCGCTTGCTGCTTAACCCTGGCAGATCTTTGCCAACTGGTCGTCATGCTACGTCCGCTAGGAAGGTGCTTGCTTGCTTGCTTGCTTGCTTTGATATTAGTTTTTTGGTTGTGACAGCACTTGGGCACTTCTTCTAGTTTGGCGGTGCCTATGTCATACCATACACAGTAGCGGCGGTGGTTGTGGTAGCAGCCGTCCTCGGCATGGTGATACGTAGTTATACTCCTCGTATCTGATCGTCGTCATCTTAGGAGCAGTATAATCCTCTTCTTCTCATGCGGGTGGCCAGGTGGGGTAGCCAGGCGGGTCGGCGGTAGGCAGGCAGGCGGTATCAGTAGATAGTAGGCAGGTTGCAGGCATTTCCCGTTTGCTCGGCTAAGGCTGCGAGGCCCAAAACAAGGTAGGTAGTAGTAGATACCAGTTTTAGGTTGCAGGCAATACGTAGCAGGCAAGCAGGCAGGGTGGAAGCGGTTGTGGTAGTGGCGGCTGTGCTAGAAGTAGTAGTAGTAGTAGTAGTCGTGGTGGTGGTGGTGGTGGTGGTGGTGGTGGTGGCAGTAGTTGTCGTCGTCATAGTCGTGGTAGCGATGGTGGCAGTGGCAATGGTACAATAGTGACGGTGGTGTTGGCGGCGGCGGTGGTGGTGGTTATTGTGGTCGAGGTAGGTGTGGTTGTAGTACTCGTTGTACTGGTAGCAATGGTAGCAATAGTAGTAGTCGTCGTCGTGGTAGTATATTGTCGGAATGGGAGTACGAGTAGAAGTAGCAGGAGGGGTAATTAGTCGTCGTCGTCGTGACATAACTCGCGAATGCCCCAGGCTTGATGGCGATGCTTGGCACAGATGGGACAGGACGGAGGCAGCGGAGGAGAGCAGGGCTCGCTGACGACAACGACCCTGCTGTTGTTCCCTCGTCCCCTCTCCCTTTCCCGCTCTACGCACGTCACCACTGCTCGCTGAGGCCGGCTAGAACCTGACAGCCGAACGAGGGGCCGAGTAGCATAAAACCGAGACGATCGGCTTCGCAAACAAAAGTCGGGTCCAGACAAATTGGCCGTTCGCATGCCGCCCTCCAGCCTAAACAGGAGAGAGGCATCAAAATAGGCCAAGTTCGCAGAAGCACAGAAACCGGCAGCATGAAACAAGGTGTGCCGGCTTCAAGAGAAACAAACCGGCATAAGAAAGCGAGTAGCCCACGTGGCAAATGCTGGCAAACTGTACATATGCATGCAGAAACTAGCAGTTTCAAGACCGGTGTCCGATTCCGACTGGTGTGTCTTATTGCGAAGACATGTCTGTGGAGATGTTGTGCTACTGCTACAATGGTACAATCGAAGTGCTTCCATGTCCTCCTCGGGGATCAGGAGCCGCTCAGCACAAACCTGCGCGAGGCAGAGCCAGGCTTGCCTACGTGGCCGTCAATTTCGTCAAAGCCATTTAGTTTGAACCACGTGGCCGACCAATTTCCAAGCCAAGCGAAAGAATAGGCGATTGGTATCAGGTGTAGTGCTGCGAGCCAGGGAAACTCCTCACAGAGCAGAATAGCAATCTAAGCGTCTGCAGTGTGCCTTCCACTGCGTTCCGCTCTCACTTCTCGCGGCATGCCCCTCTCCTTCGCTGAGACGATGTTCCAAATCCTGCAGGGTGCGGTGCAAGGCACACTGCAACCCTTGCTTTGCGCAGGTCTTGCTGGCCTGTATGAGGACTCATTCAGTTGGCATTAAATTGGCATTAAACACTGACGCAGCCATGCACAGCTCACGTTGCAGTTGCATATGTATATGCTGCATGCAGACTTCTTTCTTGTCTGTCGACAGCCTATGTTGCTAAGGCAGGAAATTGCATGTGCGGATGTGGGTGATTCCTGACTGCCGCAGATTTGGGCGACTTGGGCTCAGCTCCCGCAGAGGAGGCCGCACCTCAGGACACACTAGACTCGTGGTCTCCGCAAGTCACCAGGACTGACTTGGGCCGAACTTCCTCTCTCCGTCAGGTGGCCTTCCTCTTCTGCGGAGTCAATCACGGACTTCCAGGCCGAAGAGCGAAAGACCAGGAAGCCTGCAATGAGTTCATGTTGAAACTGCCAGTATCAACTTTACGCATATCTTGGCGGCCTAGCGGCCTAGCATGCCACTCACCAGGCTGTAGACAATCTGGTAGGCCAGAAAGTCGAACGGTGCCCCACCTAAAGTGAATCGGATCCCAATGACACCTACGCACGGAACTGCAGACTACAGACATCCTCAGTACTCTGCCGAATTCTCACATGGACGTGCGGATCAATCATTACAATATGCTTCACAGCTTGGCAGCAGTGACGAACCTCCCCGTTCGAACGACCTGGGACTTGATACCTCCAACCTGGCACTCCCAATCGCTGACAAAGCACGGAACCACTGTGCATGCACCGCAGTGTGGATGCTCATTCCAATGGCAAGCCTTGCAACTTAGATTGGTAGGACAGTTGCCACATCTTGCGCGCAGCAACCCGCACATGCAATGCTGTGCACACCTGGTGCAAGCCGGGGTTGGCGGATTTGTCGGCTATGTGATCTGTGCTTTCAAGCGTCGAGCAAAGCACACCTGCAGAGACCTTTGCAGACTGCTTCGGCGGTGCAGCGCGCACTGCCGCTAGAACAGCAACCTGGGCTGCGCTCAATGAAATGGCACTTTCCGGTGCATTCTGTTGTCTGGGCGGGTCTCAATGTATGTCGGTCGTCGGTCTATCTTTCCTTCGGCCAACTGTCAGTGTGACTTGCTGCGCATCTTTCTGTAATTCTTTCTGTCCAAGGGTCAAAGTAGCAGGCAGTCCTAGCTGCTCGCACTCGACCGACTTGACTTTATCAGCAGCCGGCTGGAAATGGAAAAGGAGTTCCCCGCAGCAAGCCCACTGAACTTGTTGACAAGTCGGGCAGTCACGACTGGATACGACTTGATGGCGCCAGGGAAGCACCGTTCTTCAATTTGGGGCCCCGTGAATCTTCTGCTTTCTTCTGCGGGGGACGCAAAGATCAATTCTTGGTTTATCGCAGGCAAGCATGAGTCGATCATGTCTCGATGAGATCTCAAAGCCGGTGGATGGTGCCGTGAGGTATCTCCCCACCACTCTTTCACAAGTCCAACAGTCTAACTGATGGTGGACTCACAAGGTTGTTTCTTGTCTGGCGGAGGCCTTCCACACGCGATGGGGATAGCCCCGACGAGCTTTGTCCTTTTGTTTGGGTTTGTCGTCTGTCTGTGTCTCAATCTCTGGCCACGGCCAAAACTGTGACATACTGTGACAGCATGCAACTGCCGAATCTTGATTCGACCCTGCAGTCACCGCAACCGGTTGCACCTGCTGGCAAGGATCCGTGTTCAAAAGCGTTGCTCCGAAGCCGAACAAGAAGTATCCAGCCATTGCTGAATAAATCCTGGACTGGGAGACGGTGAGTACACTGTGAGTACCCGTGTACTTCCGGCAGCATAAACATTGTGCTGATGCTGCACGCATAATGCCCTGAACCGCAACGCCACATCTACAATGCCTCGGCGTTCCGAGCAACGATGCCGTGGCCCATGCCATGCCTTAGTTGGTCGAAGCCAACATCCAGGATCATCCACTACCGGTACAAGAAACAAGCACGGAAACGACACGTAAAATCTAAACATGGGTAACACAGGGATGCGAATTTCACGGATTGTAATACTGTACAACTTTCCTCATTCAGCCTTACTCAGGCGAGGGCATTCAGGAATTTGGAACATCCGGGACAGTTGTTCCGACCCAACCAACCAAATAAGAGGGGGGAGGGTACGGAAAACAGAAGGAACCGGCTAGTCGAGCGCCTGCCACAGACGTTCCCACTTTTGAACCAAAGCGCATTCATTGGCAAGCCAGACTCATCCAACATGATCAGATACTACTTTACATGGGGCTTACCGTAATTATTCAACTCACCCTGTCTCATCTGTGACGGTGAAGACTTGGGCATTGTATGCACGAAAAGCTCATCATGACTCCGCCGCAAAAGCCGCAGATCTTTCAGAACTTCGGGGAATAAATGCACACAGAAATTACCCTAGCTTGAATCCTTGGCGTGCCATTGACAAGCCATCCGTGAGGATCAAAGCAGCCAAGCATGGATAGCACGTGAATCACCTCGCATCAAAGGCTTACCATCGACTCCGGGTTGTCACCCAATGCTTAGATCAGGAGAATCAGGATGCTGATTCCACTTCGAGCAGCTTTGTGTCGCATATCCGGAGGAGCTCTAGATTCATAGATGACTCAACGCATGGCCATGGCTGGAGACTGGCCAGCAATGGACAGCATGAGATCAACAAGGATTTGTGACATGTCTCGACATAGAACGCGACTCGTGGCCACAGGGAGCTCAGGGAGCAGGCTTTGCCTGCTTCACTCCTTCAGCGTGCGACCGCTTGAGGACGTTGAAGTTGTGTGTCGATACGTATCGTTCGTTTGCGGAAAGATAAACACCTGCCACGGAGTCCTCAATCCAATCCAGCCCCGGCCTGGGGCGTAGTCGCTTCAACACATTTCTCAAACACGCCCCTTTCTTTCATTTTGGCAATTCCGATTCTTCAATTGACTCAGGCGGGCCGCTGTGTTTGGCGATCCCGGCTGAGCAATTAAATCTCAAATTCGCCCCCTAATTTGGCGTTTCTGCTGGCGATCCCAGTGCATCACATTTCCTGCATACATGTGTGCCCTATTTAGCGCTCACTGGATTGGTCACAGAACGTCTTAAATCCACCCTCAAAGTATACCGGGTGCACGAATCGGTGCGTGAGTGGTCCAGTCGTGCAAGAATGGGCCACATGCAGCGCGCGAACCCGCAGCCCACAGCACCCAATTTCAGCACCACAAGCACTAGGGCTGCTAATTAACCAGTTCTTCCGCCCCCAAGCAAACAACAGGGTGAAAAGAGAACGAAACGGTGAGGGCACACGAACCCAACAACCCTGAAGTTGAGCGCCCGCCGAAGATGCTTCTTTTCATCTCGAGCCAAATGCAGTTATTGGGAGGTCAGCTTCATGATCAAACACTACTTTCCATGGGGAACCACTGAAAATTTTCAGCCATGATCTGTGGTAGTGTCATCAGCATTGGGCACGTGTTCTTGCAATGTTTTGCAATGACCTGGCGCCAGCGCCAATCTTCGAACAAAATTCAAGAAAACTCGCGATTCAACAGAGGCCGCAGTCCGAAGCACCCACAAACCCGATTTCGGGATACTGATATGAATGCCACAAACCCCAAGAAGTTGCGCGCATTATTACATGCACTCTTCAGCCAAGGGGCCAGAGCTGCTGCAGATCCCGCCCAGAAGACAGGCCCTGTAGCATCGTGACTTCTTCAGATACGTAGAGGCACAGGCGGGCAAACACCCATGAGAAACCGAAGTCCTTCTAGGGAGCTAAATGCAAGGCTTGACATGACAGTTCTGGAGTCCGCACCCCTCATTTAACTGGGAAAAATGAAGATTTCGCTCGAATTCCGTCTCTTCCCGCGCTGGCCAGGCGGGGCCGAGGGCGTCGAAGACGATTCCTGGAACACATAGCGACTACCAAGGCTCCTCATAACAATGACTGGACAGCTTCTCGCATTATCGGCTTCCGGTGCGTGATGGAGGTGGCATGCAGGTACTGCTTGAGTTTTCTCCAGAGTAGCCTAGCGGCCCAGGCTCCTGCGGTGCCACAAGTACCAGACAGCCGCTTCTCAACAGCCATTTCGTGTTAAATGCAAGCCGTGCCCGAGGCCTCTTGCCCGTAGAAGTACAACGACCCCGGTTCCTTCTCTCATTGTGCCTTTCTTTACCGATCTTAGACATCTTGTCTTGGCTGTGTAAACCAATTAAGACGTTGACCCAAGCGCAGCTAGCTACATTGGTGAACAAAACCATGTAGGGCCGGTGGGTCAGGAGGTCCTTGGGGACACTTCCCACGGCGCCTACTCTGACGAGGATCACGTCCCGACTGGCCAGGCAAAGTGTCATAGTGGGCCGCAGAAAGGGACACAAACGAGGGGGAGGGTCGTAATAGCTCCCCAAGTCACGCCTGATGAAGAATCATCTCAACGTTTCTCGACTCATTAGACTTTCCCTTTCGAGAGCCACTTCTATTTCTGTCATCGCGATACGGCAAGATTCAGATAGCATCAGAGAGATTCTCCTGCTGGAGCCGCCAGGAAGCAGGCGCCCCAGTTGGCCGCCGCATAGAGCTGGTTCGCATCCCCTGGGCTCCCAGTGGGCTCCCCGGGGCTCCGGAGGCTGACTCTGACGCTGAGCTTAGTGGGCTTAGTGCTTTCAGCAGTTTTCAGCTTCTTTTTTGGCTTGTCTCTGAGCTGCCTGGTTCCAGCAGCTCAGAGCTGTAGATGCTGAAGATCTGGAGGAGCGCGTATTGCATAATGATCACGCAGCAAGAGCCTCCGCTTATGCTTTCGAGAAGTGTTGCAAGTGATCCGTGGGGCAGAGCGAGATCAGCAGCACAACAGAAATCAATCGTCGTCTATGAGTTTCACGCGATGCCTATGATCTGCACGCGCGACTTGAGCAAGCTTCGGTTGCTCCTCAGGTATGTCGAACTGTCGAAGATGCGAACAGAACAGATTTTCCTGTGTGTTGTGCACGCTGGTGTGCCTACAAATTTAAAAGCCTAACATTCTCGGAAAAAAAGCTGAGATCCGGATGACTCTGAAACCAAGGATCGTGGTAGGCATTGGGGTTGGGGAGGCCCGTGGCGAAGTCCTGCTCTGGATGGTCACTCTGCGTGTTTAACGCAGGCATGGATCAGTCAACTGCTCTGAAAATCCCGCTGATGCGTGCGTCTTCGAATGTTTTGCAGTTGCGGCTCAAAGTCCTAACTCTGCGGGCAGCTGTAAACAGTGCAGCTGCTGCGGCGCTAATTCCGCACAGCACGCGTCGACCCGATCCCTGCCAGTCACGCATTGCAGGCAAATGCAATCGTTGTGTTCGGAAAATCTGCACGCTCTCCCGCGCCTGTCTTGGGATCTGGGGATCCACTCCCCGAACTTGCTCCTTCCTCTCCTTCGCTTCCAGGCCTTCAAGCGACGACATGCAGAGGGCTCACGCGCGAATTCGTTAAGACCGAACCCAGCCGGTCACAGCGATGGCATGGGAGTTTCTCGATTCTCGATGCTACCTGTAGAAGAAATTGCTTACTTGCCCAGCCCTTGCGACCACGACCTCACGGGAACCGCTGCCTACACGGCAGCATGCTTAAGCGGCTGGAGCCGGCCTGTGGCTCCTTCCGCCCACTTGCCGGCTGCGGTGATGAGCCTGGTAGCACTCCGGTTGCAACTCTGCGTCCCTCTTTTGAGGCTTGGCATCTCTTGCAGTTAGACACACCAAGTGGCACTGCCGCACGTAGCATGCCGTGGTCTCGGGCAACGAGGCGAAGTGCCATACGCAGCGAGACTCTGTGAAACGCACACTTCAAAGACTTGAAACATGCTCAAAGCTGCGACGACTAAATGGCTCGTAGCTACTTCCTATGTCAACTGTGGAAATGCAGAGGACTATGCACGAGTCAGCTTGACAGGCTTTATGGGCCACGGTCTGGCCGAGCAAAGCTATGAATGATCTATTATGTGCAGCGTGCTATAGCTCCGTAATTCATCCAGAATTCATCAAAAAAATTGTCGCACATGCCGATCTCAACCTGGAGCCTTTTTCCTCCACGCTGCAGAGTCAAAGAAAATGACGGAGTGCCTGGCCATTGCAGCAGGTGAACTTGAAGCTGCCAGGCTGAACTCATGCTGACTGCGAAGTGAACTAGTCTGACCATGTCAGTTGACTGCACTACGCAAGAAAACTCAGTCTTCTCAAATGTTCACACCCCCTCCACACAGCCTTACGCCGGCGAGAGCAACGCATCGTCCGCGGGCACAACTCCATCGGTATCAAGGACAGCCGCGCTTCTGGGAGAGGGGAAAAACATTGTTGATGAAGTGGCGATTAAATTGGCTCGCTTGGAAGGTCAGCTAGCAACTCGCCGGTGCGAAACGACTTTACAAACTCCAGATTCATGGTTAATTAAGTGCCAAGCAGCTTCAAGATTCTGAAAGTGCACAGACAGTCATGTACATGCTTCCAACTTGCTTCCACAATCTTCCACACACTCACACGCTCACGTCACATCATTCGCTCCCTTGCTCGCTTCGCTTCCCATCACTGATTCTCGCTGCACCTCCGCCGCTTCGATTCCCTTCTGCTGACTTCGCTCCGACACGCGTGCCAGTCCGGGAAGAACTTGCATGCGTGGCTTATTCGGTCCGAGCTTTAGTTCGGTTCAACTTTGCCCTGTACGGCAGTTTGCGGTTTGTTGAGCCAAGCTACGTGCCACTGGCCCATTTCGCAGCGTTTTCCGCTTCGCCACACCGGGGGCCTGGCCGGGCAAGACACGGAGGCTCCGAAAGGAGCGTTGGCAGCACTTATGGATCCTCTCTTTGCAAAAGGGCTTCGAACAACTCGTGCCTGTTTGCAACATCGCGAGAAGCGAGAAGCATCACTTCGACATGGCAGGCAAGCCAAGAACCTGCCTGGTTGCAAGGCCACCACACATGGCAGTGAGCGGAAAAGGCTTCCTGCACCACGCGCTGGAATTTCTGTACGACCACCAATCAGTCATGTCAC